GGACCTTTAAATTAAAGACACATTTAGATATTGTTTTTACATTAATTATTATTGAAAAGATAAAACTTAATTTTTACTTAATCAATTATTTAATTAAAATAATACACATAAAATTAGTAATAAATTATTTTTTATTTTTATTTTTTTCAAATTAATTAAGTAATAATAAAATATATTAATTATAGACAATAGAGTGAAATTTTTTTTTAATTAGATAAAATTATTATAGTTATAATATCATATGCTATTATAAATTTATAAATAAAATGTTATTATATAATTAATATTTTTATTTAAAATTTTACTATAGTATTATATATGTTTATTTATTTAATATTATATTATTTTTTATAAATTTATAATTTTATGTATTAATAAAATTACGTTTAATTATACACGGAGTATTTATTTTTTTTAATTCCTTTGGTGGAATTGTTTCCGCTCCAGACGAGTAGGAGTAATTTGCGGCCACTGTCGGTCAAAATATTCCAACACCCCAAGTCGGTGCCGCTCTCGTATGAAATCGAGTCTTGAATTTTTTTTTTTTTTTCTATTTTTCTTGAAAAATGTTTCTTCTTTCCTTGTCAGAGAAAAAAAAAAATACAATAGCAATAATTGAGAGATAAATGGTGAAATTATTGTTATACCTTAAATATTTTATATTTTTTTAATATAATTATTTATTATATTTTTTAAAAAAATATTATCTATTATAATTATTTATTATATTTTTTAAAAAATTTATATTTTTTATTTTTTAATAAATTAAAGAGTATAATAACAATTAAAATAAAAATATGTAGTAATAACACATATAATATATAAGTTTTAAAATATAAAAAATTAATTATTAAATAATACATACTTTATTATAATTTATTTTTTAATATTTTAAATAATCTAATTTATATCACAATATTAATTTTTAATTTTAATCTTAAATTTTAGTTCGATTTATTATTATTAAAATGAAGGGTAATTTCAAATTTTCAATGAAAGAAGAAAGTTTTAATTTCATTTATTTTGCCGCAGAGTATGGTCTATGAGATGAAAAGGGAGGCTAGAATTTTAATGTGGATTTAGGAGGGGTAAGTCCTATTGGCCGTTAATATTAATAAGGCTCGTACAGCTGTACTAAAATTTTGGGTCACGGTTACTAAAACTTTTCCACTTTATTAAGATGTTTTTTTTTTTTTTTTTGGGAAATTATTAAGATGTTTTTTTTTTTTTTTAGGAAATTATTAAGATGTTTTTTTTTTTTTTTAGGAAATTATTAAGATGTTTTTTTTTTTTTTTTTTTTTAAATCATTTCTATGGGAGAGTATCTTTTATACTTAATTTTATAATAAAATTTTAATTCATCTAAAAAAAAAGTTTTTCAT